GCGTCGTTCATCAATGAGAATTACAAGTGAATTTATTCTCGTCGTTATTGCCGCGATATACATATGGCGTGCGGGAATGAAGGGGCACCAGGACGAAGGTGGAACACGGCTGTGCAATTACATGTCCACTGTGTGTCCAGGTGAGGTACGGACGGCGATTACCACGGAAATCGTGTGTAATCCTTAATTAAAATTAGAGCGGCTCTCTCGCGATCGCAGCGGGGTTGCGACTAGCGAAGGAGGAAAAGGAGGTGGAGGAGGAGGAGGCAGAAGAGAAAGAAAAAAAAGGAGAAGAAGGGAAACGGTCCGCGCTCAAATTCATTGGATCCCACGGCGAGCCAGAGCTCCTATCTCTCCAGCTTACCTGCGGGTTTCGTCTCGGGAACCCCCCCCCCTCCCCCTCGTCATATTTATTGGGATTCGGAGTTTTACGATCGGTGTGAATGCGCCGGGAAACGTTCCCTCGATGAAATTGCGCTCTCGCTGCTTACATCGAACGTTCCTAGGCGTCCGTATCTCGGCGATTATGATCCACCGAGATATGTAATGCGCGCGCGACGCTAATGTCCCGCGTACCTCGAGTGAGCGCACGAGTCGTTAATGAATTTAATAAACTTGCAGATAGGCTGGGGTGATCTTAATATATATTATCTCGTTTACCTCGAGTTGCTTGCAGAGAATACGCGCGTTTAAGCTTTCCGTTTCAGCGATATTTAAATCCACGACGAAAGACACAACAAATAGTCGGCCGTGTCATAATTATCGAAATAAAATAGCTGAACTTCTCAATGATAGTAGAGAGAACGATGTTGCTGACGTATTTAAAAATTTAGGTAAATAAATTTGAAAATTTTATTGGAGACTGCGTCAAAATAATTATGTATACTGATTGTGAGACGAACTTCTGGTTGGAAACAAAAACCATTTTTCTCTCGTTGAAACGATTGTCCTGGTTAAATGCATGAGTTATAAATATATTTAGAACATTTTTCCTATTCGTGTTGCTATATGTTTACGCGAAAGCACTGTATACGGAGATCGTAATCTTTCGAATATTTTCGTGAATTAAAATCGTAACGGCGCATTTATTGTAGCAATTAAATTACAATTATTACGTTATACGCGGTAACGTCGCATTAAGTTTTAGTGACGTCGCATAAACTCATCGAGTTGATATATCATCCATTATGGTGATATATTACGGACAGCAGATCCCAGATCCATAATTTTCTCCGTATCGACCAAGAGGTATAAACTAAATGCAACGAGCGACGGGAATGACACGTGGGCAAAAACAGGAAGAGACCATCCTCGAACGTGGGATGTACGGCAAACCGAGTGGCATTATTTCAGAAAATATCTGATCGGCCGTGACGTCGCGTACCCGCGATACAAGCTCGCGTACCGGCACATGTAGTTACACGTGTCCGACGCACTTTATCGCGCATAATTAATCCGGGACTAGTCTACAGTGAGAGCGATGAGTCCGCGCACTGAAGAAATACAGTTTTCTACGATAGCTTCAGCGGCTCGGAAGAACTGTAGAAATTAACACGATGTGCGTTCGACGTTGGGCTAGCTGCTGTCCCTTTTCTCATTAGAATATCGCTCTATCTCTTGTTAATTTTAGGAAAAAATAAATATCTAGACTAGGCCTTCTTCTATGGTGTATGCAGTGGAAACACTGTGCCACAGAGAATCTCCAAGCGTGTCGCGAAAATTTTAAGGAAGGTAAAACAAAGAGAAAAAATTGTTAAGTATTTAAAGAATAAGATAACTTCACTCATTTTTTACTTATTTATTAAATTGTTTCACTTTTTTGTGTGTTACGTTTAACTCGCATTTCAACCAGCGATATAATCGTCGCAATAAAATTACTTTTAAAACGATAAACTAAAAATAAATGTTTTGTAACTTTATTTATTTTTAAATGTCATATTAACGGTATCTGATGAATAATCTATGTTGAGCGCTGAAGCATGTGCACCTAATGATGTACCTCGAGAAATTTAGCTCGTTATTTAATGTGAATTGAAAAAATTCAAACAGTGCTAAGATCTAAACTGATAATACAATTTATATTATCCATCTAGATCACGTTTTCCATCCTTTTCAATTTTAATATAACATACTTACGAGGAAGATAGTGGAAGTCACGTGCGATAGACTTCCGGGTGCGTGTAAAAATATATATACATAACCGTAAAAATTTGTTAGAGATACTAAATTACAAAAATATTATTTATAGCAAATAATAAATAATAAATAATCTCAACAATTTATTTCAAACGATCATAAAATTAAACTATATAGATATTCTCTATTTATGGAAGGCAAATCACGCTTGTTGCGAGAAGTATCTTATATGTAGACGTAGATATAAGTGTTCCAGGATGCATCTTTAACTAAGTACACTTCGCATCGCTGGACTTGGCGTAACAGGACCGAGGAGATCTCGACCAGGTCGGTGGAGTGGATAGGTGTAACGCGCGTGACTTTTAATCCGATAATCGACACCGTGCACACGCATCCGCCCTAACCCCCTTGGCTCATGGATTCAGCTCTAGGCCGGGGGCTCTTGAACAGATCGAATTGACTCTCTCTACATCGGCCATTACCTGGTCACGGCTGTCAGCTCGGGTGCTCGCACTCACCCGGCGCGAATAATATAATAAATCACGCGGGTAGAGAGAGTACGATACCAGGCGACTTCCCTCGGCTACCAGAGCTACGTTTTCCAACGCCGGCCGTACGCCCTGTGTGTATCTGTCTAGTGTACACGACCGGCCTGTGTATTATACCTGCCTACGTACATTCGTGCTTAGGTGTATATCAGCGGCGCCGCGATCTCACGACTTCCATGTTTAGCCGCGCTCCCTGTCGCGGTCGTTGATGTTGCTGTTGCTGCTGCTGTTGCTGGTCATAAGCGAGAAATTGCGAAGTAACATTGGCAGCGACGACACGAGAGAGAGAGAGAGAGAGAGAGAGAGAGAGAGAGAATTGATCGTGCCTGCCACTTCTCATGTTTTTCCACTTGAAATTGTTATGTAATTCCGCATGACGGCATTGATCGCCAACACCGCGCGAAGCGCCCGGCTACAACCTAGGAATCCTCTAATGATGCCATTACTGTACACAAATGAAAAATTTATATTAAATTTAATACATTTTGTATATCAAACAGTTTACTCAAATTTTTGTGTTAATTTAACATAAGATGAACCTGTTAAATATAGTAACACAAATATTATGTAAACGAATTGACATAAATTGTAAACAAATTATGTTGGTGTTATACAATTTGTAAGTGAATTGCAGAAGCATATTATAAACTTTTGTTTTTACCTACAAAAATCAATAATTATTTTCTTACACAAGATTGCGTAATCATAATATATTAGTAAATATATGTATATATTTGTTCATAAATTATGTACATGACAGTTTAAATTCACATAAAAAAAAAGATAAAATATATCTTCTAGCAGAGCGTGGTTTCGATCCACGGACCTCTGGGTTATGGGCCCAGCACGCTTCCACTGCGCCACTCTGCTGTCTCGACTGAACCTCCTCTAAAACAGTACAATTAAGAACTTATTATTCATTCGATATATTAAAAGTATAATTTATAGTTGCACGATTATTATTGCTAGAAAAACATTCAATGTTTTTGCTTTGGAAAGATTAAAACGTTTTTATATAAAAAAAAAAATAGTAATATCTTACACACATGATAAATATAAAATTATATTTAAGTTTGTTCGAAATAAAATTTTTCGTCACTTCAAATATTTGTTTTGTTATTATTTGCACATGCATAGAGATGTAAGTCTTTTTGATTTATAAAATTCCGGAAAGATATAATATTTGAGGTATCGCATCTACTCTAAAGATATTACGAAATTCTATTAATTATCTTGTGATACTTTAATGTTACAATTTCTTGAATTGCAATTTGTTTGGAGTCTATTAAAGCCATTTCTTCTACTTTCCAAAGTGGCCGTTTTACCCCAAAAATGATACATTTATGACACGATACATAAATGTAACAATAATACGATACATTTCGTAAATGTAAGCGCAACGCTGAAATCGGCGCTGGCTTACTTCGAGTTCGGACAAGTCTCGATGGTCTTGCAGTAATCTTTGTACGCACCGCGCGGTCTCCCGTGGCATAAGGGTAGCGTAAACGAGATTGCGACGAGGATTGACGCGAAGAAAACGGTAGTCGAAGAGTTAATCGTAAATAATGGCCCTGAGTTCGCGCACGTTCGTGACACACGATAGAATGTATGCACGAATTCTTAGATTGGATAAACGCGAATGTCAGGTGCCCGCGAGGCAAGGAACGCGAGCACTATTATTAACTCGTTTTATAGCCGGTATCTAAACTGCGAATAAACGAACATTAATTATGTATGGACGCAATAAAATCTGTATTGCTCGTGTTGTGGATAAGCGAGTCTCACTTTTCGTTCTTATTATTTTCGACGTTGGCAACAAATCACGATGATATATCACCCATTCGGTTTCGTAGACGTGTGTCTCTCATTGATAATAAAAACGACATAATATTTGGCGATTTGGTAAACCTAACATAATCATACGATACGAATCTATTTTTATATACCGACTTCAATTCCCCTCCGTAATGTAGAAGTATGCTATATAATTACTGTGGATGAAATAAACGTTGCAATTAATTACATAATAAAATCTGCAAAAGTGTTATAAAAAGGCAAAACATTCAAACAAAGAAAAAATAATCTCTCTTGATGGATTCTTGTTAATATTTACAATTTATACGCTTTTATTACAGACACATTCCACGAAATATTAAATGACGAATGGAAAGCTTACCAATCTGATTGATTGAATTCTAATCTGTATAATCCTGAACCGCTGAAGCAAACATCAATCACTATAAATCTTACAAAACAAATGGCTGTGAAATATCTGATTGAGAAGTAATGCTGACCAGATCTGTCTTCTTCTTTCAGTCCGACATCGTCCACCAGAGTGTCTACGAACTGGTGCATAGCGAAGACCGGGAGGAATTGCAGCGGCAATTAATGTGGAATTCTTTCTTGCCCGCCGAAAGTGCAAGCCTGCCTTTGCACGACGCACTCTCGCCCCAACATTGTCATCTGCTCGAACGTAGTTTCACGGTTCGCTTCCGTTGTCTTCTCGACAATACATCAGGCTTTTTGGTATGTACACGATGTTTTATACCGCACTGCTCGTATTTTTGCTCATCTCACATTTTTAATCGTACCACCAGCTGGATACACAATCCAAGTGAAAACGGATTTTCCATATGTAAATCTCAAAAATACAAAATGTGTTAGAATCATTCCGATATTTGTTAATTAATATGAGATAATTCGATGTTTTATTTAATTGGGGTTACCAATTTTTGTATTACCACCTTGATCTTTAAATTAAATTTTATACTTTAAGTCGAAATCGAATCATATGCAACTCTCTATATGCAATCTGTGTCTTTTTTGACATATGAGAAATTATAGTCTCAAATTTCTTCCTTACATCTGTTCGAATTTTGATTTTTATTAAATAAAAGTGTTAACATTGAGTTAATTAAGTAATGTTGAAAAGAGGAGAGAGAGAGAGTCTAAATTTTTCCATACTTTTTGAAAATCTAAAACAATAAGAAACTTGCTGTGGACAAAAAAGATCAAGATTGCAGATGGATGAAGCAAAAATATTGAAGGTTAATAAATTAAATTTTTAAATATTAGTTTTTTTTAAATTGAAGTTTAACACTTTCATATTTAAATGTGTTAAGAACAATGTAAAACTTATTAAAACAACCATTAATATTATATCTATGAATATGTAATTTAATGATTCTATTATTGTGTACAATTGTTAAAGAACCCTCGAAATAGAAAATTAAAATATTCCAAGTTAAAAAGAGCCATGAAAGCACAGAATTTTCAATTAGTTTCGTATTATATGTATGTAACTTATATTTAGATTATTATTACAAACTTATTCAGAATGTTCCGACCGCATCTGGAGCTATCCTTAGATTCTAATACTATCTTGGATATTTTAACGTATTCGGATGCTTCGTGAAAGCATGTAATGATCTCGAAATCTTTGCGGCAAATGCGCCACGTAATTACAATAAATGGTATGCGCGCTGGCTGCCTTAGGTAAGGACCCAGCCAAGCAGGAGTCAAGACGACGTTCCTTCACGGTTGCAAAAGCGATGTGCCGGCACATACAAAACAGTAATTAATAATTTCACTGTCATAAAGAGAAGAGGAGCGAGCTCTTCTCTCCGTTCCATAACGACGCCACTATTTCCCCCGCTCTCGCGTAATTGCTTTTTTTTCTCTTCCATCCTCCCGTCCACTCCTCTTCCGATCCTCTCTCTCTCTCTCTCGAGTTGTGTTTCCTACTTACCCTCTCGACCTGCCACCAAGTTCTAAAACCGCAAAGGCATGTATTAGATTGTTACGCGCGAAGTGCTGGTTTCAACGACCTCTCCGTAATTTTACGGGACATCGGACGTACGTCGGTATACAACCGAATTATAATTTTTATACGGCAACGCTAGCGGTATCGCCAGTTTAAACGTTAGTTTTCATCGAGCAGCAACAACTTTCACCGCAAACGACATAAATGCCGTTCAGTTTGTACGTGAAACATGATGCGTCGAATTGACTCTCGTTCTCTCTCGCAACGTGCTAAGCAGATTTCCTAAATATTCCCGAAGGAATTTCAAGTCACTTTTTTTTACGTCAACGGCCTTAAATCTAGGCCGTGAGGCCGACATTCCCCGCGCAAAGCTGGATGTGTATAATCATAGGCCCAGTCAATGAACCGTGACAGCGCGGCAGAGATTGAAACGATAATTCGTCCGGACGGCCGAGCTGTCCATCGTTGGTACCGTTGTCTCGACGGCGTTCGAGAAAAGGTATACTAAATCAAGGGCCAAACAAAACCAGGTTCTCTCCGGAAGGGACGGGGAAGAGAAAAGGAAGGGAAGGTCGGGCAGCCGGGGTACGGAGACGCGGCAAAACACTAATTATCTTACGGCAAACACACCGCGTGGACGCGCGCAGGTATACCCGATGTCGAACGCGACCGGACTGCGGTATTATTCTGGGCAAAGGATACGAGACGCGCGAAAGAGAGCGAGAGGTCGAGCTCGCAAGAGTTCGGCAAAAACGACACCGCTTTGACGTTTATGAAAATGAAACTGTAATCGTAAAAGAGTTTACGGCGCGAGAAGCGCACACCGCCACTACCACCTTCTCCAAGACCCTGCCCTTGGCGGCATCCTTCGCGTACCGTCGATCTAGCTACTGGTGAGCTTTTGACGTTTTTTTTTTTTTTTTTTTGCGACGGGTCCATCTACGTGAGACCTTCTTCTGTTAGGAGCGCCATGCTTCATGAGCGCCTTCGATCTATCTGGATGCTGCGTGAGAGGTCTTTCAATGAAACCATATGCGACTGCAAGAATAATTTACACATGGATAGAACGGTTTTGTTCAAGTATTGAAAAGTTTAGTTAGAGATACAGATCTTAAAGTAATTTTGTTAGACCATCAAAGTAATTACATAGAACACTTAAGCAAAAGAATTTGACACTTTAATAATTAGTTTGAGTGTTTTATAATTATTTTTATAGTTCAAATTTAACCAAATTATTTTTATATACTTATATCTAACTAAATTTCTAATTTTAGCATCTAACTTTAGCAAAATTATTCTTTCCATGTATATATAATATAATAGTAATAATATTATATAATATTTATTAATTATGTTATTTATTTAATATTAGTGTGGCGACAATGAGTCAAGTATCGTTACATAAATTAAAAATTGAAGAAATTAAAACGGTTTATGATTCCATCTCTATTAAAATTTTTTCACCATAGACAATCAATTTTCAGCTGCGTTGCAACTTTTTAGTTGTATGATATTCTCTATTGTCGCTCTAGAATTACACTCACGAATTATTTATTACAGCGTCTGGACATCAGGGGCCGAGTTAAAGTACTTCATGGCCAGAACCGGAAGACGGAAGAGCCACCGCTTGCTCTGTTCGCTCTGTGCACACCGTTCGGGCCGCCTTCGCTCCTGGAGGTGCCGCAGAAGGAAGTAATGTTTAAGAGCAAGCACAAGTTGGATCTCGCGCTCGTGACGATGGATCAGAAAGGAAAGATGCTCCTAGGCTATTCCGACGCGGAACTAACGAATCTCGGTGGCTACGATCTAGTCCATTACGACGACCTGGCCTACGTTGCTAGCGCGCATCAAGAATGTAAGTCTGTTGTGAAAGCTGTAATATGTATGTATTTACAACACAGAATTCCGTCCATATAATTTCCCTAAAAGACAAGCAGAAAAAATAAAAAATATACCGTTGAATTGATATTTCTTTTATTCTTCATTAATAATTATAAAATATGCGAATATAAATCGAAAGCGAATAGTATCTATTATTTTCCAGTTCATACAATATTTGAATAATTTGGTTAAGTTCGTTGATACTAGGTACAAAATTAATTTTGCTGAAATGACGTCGCATTGTTTTACGAAATTGGATAATAAATGAATATATTCATAGGATTTTAATTCGTTGTTTCTTGTCCTCTTTTTTTTTTTTTAGTACTGAAAACCGGTGCATCAGGCATGATAGCCTACAGATTTCAAACGAAGGATGGTGGGTGGCAGTGGCTGCAAACTAGCTCCAGATTGGTTTACAAAAACTCGAAACCAGATTTTGTGCTCAGTACTCATCGACCTCTCATGTAAGTGTCAATGTTACATTTGGTGTCGAGATTCGACGCGCGCGGAGATCGCGCAATACAATTAATTAATTCACATTTCAGGGAGGAGGAAGGTAGAGACTTGCTTGGCAAACGTACAATGGACTTCAAAGTGAGTTATCTGGACGCCGGATTGACTAACAGCTACTTCTCGGACAGCGATACTCTGACGGGGTCAGTCATGACGCCGACCTTACCAGCGCAACCGGCGCCCCAAAGAGTGAACAGGCGGTACAAGACGCAGCTGCGGGACTTCCTCTCGTCATGTCGCAACAAACGCAAGCTTTCTTCTCAGTCATCAGTCTCGCCACCAGCTCCGCCAGTCGCATCCGTGGACTATCTCGCGGCAGATACCAGCACAGCGGCAGCGGTTGCTGCGGCGTATAGCAATTTAAATACCATGTACCCGACACCGTACGCGCCCACAGCAGTGGCGGCAAGCACCGATCCTTCTTTGACAACTTACATCGGTCATACGGGCAACTATCATCAAACTCTGTATCCAGCGAGTGCGTTAGACAACAGGTACCTTACAGCCGCGACAGAGAATCTGTTTCAGTACAGACCGCTGGGTTCATATTATCCGGAGTATCACACCGGCACCGCGTACAATGGTTTCATCGACGTATCGTTGCCTACGTACGAGACCCATCAGCTGACCAGTAAGACAGAAGAGAAGCTCTACTGCCAACAACTCGGTAGCGGCGAGTCGCCTAAATACAGCTATGTGGAAACGAGACACCCTGGAAGCGTCAGTGGTTCACCCTACGCTGCCAGTCCTGTGGCGAGCGCATCCACGATGCATCCAGCGACCACCGATATGAACGTGGTGCGCGCCGGAAGCAGGCACTCGTTGGAGGGCGGCGCGTCGTCCAGTAATTCCGCTGGCAGCTCACCGGTGACCAGCGCAGCCAATGGCATGCTGACCCCGAAGATCGAGGACGTAAAATCTGAGGTATATAGCAACGAGGCGCCGCGGCAAACTGTGCTAATGTGGGGCGCGCCACCATCACGCACACCACCCAGGAACAACGGTAGCTACAGTCCTCCGACGCCGCATTCGACCCACTCGTCTACGCACTCGACCAATACCACCGGCGATCCGCTTAAGTCGCTCGCGGAGATGAACTCCATGAATGGGGACTGCAAATGGCGACAAACTTCCCCGACGGATCAAGTGACTGCATCGAGTCCGCCAAGAAACAATAAAACGCAACAATCTCAACAGCAGCATCATCATCAGCAACAACAGCAACAACAGCAGCATCAGCAATATCCTGTCACGACGTCACAATATCAAGCAGCCGCAGCTGCCGCTGCAGCCGCTGCCGCCGCAGCCAGCACCATCGGTTACACGCATTCTCATCCAGGTCATGGTGGACACGGAGAAACGGGCTCCGAGGTATGGCAAGGAGTGCAACACCATCACTACCAGTACTATCCCTACCACCATCACCACCCCGCACCACCAAGGCACACGCCCCAGTGAGTGTCACTGCTGCCTCACAGATTTTATTATAATTTTCCGTCGTCATTTACAATAAGATGATCAAATCCCCCGAAGAGAGAAAGAGAGAGAGAGAGAGAGATAAAAAACTAGATGCTTATACAATTCCGTTTTTAAATTCATAACTATATAATATCAATCTTGGTTTTTTGAGAACACAAAATGTTATCTTTATTACTGTATTTTTTTCATACATCGAGTTGAAATAATTTAATCTTTAATTTCGTTAATGTTATTTTTGTATATTTGTATTTTAAATGAAAGGGGTTGATTAAAATAATTTAGAAAATGAAATAAATTTCAAATCCTCTTTCAAGGCAAAATGAATTGATAACATTGGAGGATTGGTCATCTTAAAGATTAAATATGAAATGCTGTTGCTATATATACAAGTGGTTTCAATGTTACAATAATTTCCATTCATAAAAAAATTAATTCCATAACTTCTTATTTTTATATATAAATTAGATGTAATGTTACCCTTTGAGATATTTTTTTAATATTATATTTGAATCTTAGAACAAAATTGGTATTATTTATTACATACAAAATTTACTTGTAGATTGATTATATTATAATATAAAAGCATTATTTTGCATTAAAAAATAAAATAGTTCTCGAAAAGATTTGAACGGAATATTTGATAATTTCAACTATATTTGCACATCTTTGCTAATTAAATAATCTGTTATAAGTATATTTCATAAATCTATAGCATATTCAATAAAAATATTCACATTTTTTATATATTACATGTATTATATTATGTGTATTTATATTTGTGGATATATATAAATTTTTCATAATTTATGCTTATCCTATTGATTCGTGATATAGCAAATGCATGGTTAATTAAAAATTTATTTTTGCATCATTCTTTTAATAATTATTTATAATATTCACTCCACTATTATGGGAATCATTAGAGTTTAATTCCGGTTTACAACTACAGCAAGTTGTAACTCTAAGTTTACTGTATTGATGGAAAAGTAATACAAATAAAAATCAGTATTTTTGAAATAATAAAAGAATAATGATTTTCTGAAGACTAAGATATTGTTCTGGAAAAACGACTAATTTAACTCATTTAATTATATGAAAAAGTGTCACATCTCTAAGAGGATAAAATTTAAACTATATCATAGTTGTAATATGTGAATTTTGAAAACTTACGACATAGTTTTAAAAATACATCATGGTTAAAAGTATAACAGGAAAGAAAGTAAATTTACAGAAATTGCATATTCATTATTCTAATTAAAATGTTCCAATTCAAAATTTAAAAAAATGCTTTATTGAAAAGTTACTCATTTTGAGATATGTTACTTTTCTATCAATACAACATGTTGTGTTTGATAACATCATCAATAAGAGAACAAACACGCAAGTGTTACGTAAAAAAAAATAACAATAACCTTTTATATGATTAGGAAATCGTATCTAATTCAATCTTATTTTCCAAGAAAAGTACATTTAAGAAATAAATAAGACATAATTGAATAATCGGTAATTTTCTAGACAAACTACTTGATGTCGGATTCAGCCAAGTTAAGTTACCAAATAAGCACTTGCTTTCGCAATAACATTAAAAAACAAATTTCTGGTCGATGTGCTGTGCTACTATCTGTGTAATGGGAGAAGCCTAATTTAGCACACGTAAGATAACGGGGAGACCGTCCATTTGGTTGCAGCACGCCACCGTCAGTTGTAGGAACGGGGACGGGGGTGGCGGCAGGCATGGGCATGGGCACCGGAGTGGACAACAGCACCAGCAACAACAGCAACGTCTTGTACCACCCTCCGCACCACCACCACGTAGTGGGATCATCGGTGGCGGCGGCGGGAATGGGCCCAACTGTCCCACAGATTCCAAACCGGACGCCGGGAGTCCTCTGTTGTCCATCTCTGAGGTGACTAACACCCTGCTCAACCAATAGTCCCTTGGTCACTTCGGCGTCGCTTTATGTCAGCGATGAAGGTAAGCTCGCTTGACTGACGTTAAATGTATGTATACAGAATCACTGGAGTAAATAATTTAACGAGAAAATAAACTACCCAATCAATATAGAATAAATAAATGAGATGTAATTTTATTATTATGCCCTTATTGTCAAAAATTGAATATTTCATTTCTAGGTATTTTATTATTAGAAGTTAAGTTTTGATCAAAATATAAAATAATATATGTGTATATATTATATAATATGTTGTATATATATTTTTTTTCCTTTAATTTTTTTCTCTTCATTAAATGATAAAGAGATAAATAAGAATATAAAATTATTTTTTTGAATATATATTTTATAATTTACAAAAATAATTGTAATACTAATAACATTTAATAAGATAAAAAACATAAAAATAATATTTTATGTATTGTGTCTTATTATACAATATAAAAATTGCATGCTTTCGAACCACGGTATCTTTTTGTTTGCAGATATTTCAGAAGAGATGTCCTCATTGAAGCTGATTCCAAAACGTATCACTGTACCATACAAATAATGTCGATTAAAAAGAATTAAGAATATACGTATAGTACTGTAATATACTCATTGCAAAGCTAATAACCAACCTAGTATTACATAACTTTTATTACATTAATTTATCCGTACCGATACGTTAAGTGGATGTTCTTCAGGATTCACAGTTTGAGTCTGCATGTGACACTGATCGCAAACTTGTGTGTATGAAGGGCAGCGATCGTAAGGCGTTTTGCGATTTCATTTATTCACTACTACAGGACGTAGCAGTTGCATGACGAATAATGTAATAGCATTTTATTGAAAAATATAAATAGAGAAATCCAAAACAAATTTGGAAACTATATTATTTTTTTATTGTTAAAGAATGATTATCAAAAATAAATGTCCCGTTATTTCATTTTAACTTTTTCAAAAAATATAAGAAAATAATTATTTAATTTATTAAAAAACAATTTTTATTATATGTTATATAAAACAAATTTAGTAATATAAAAGCGCTACTGCACTTAGGAACATAAAAATTAAGAAAAAATTCTTGTATAATATAATGTGAATATCTCGTTCCATGATTTAATTTATTTCTAGAATTTTATTTTTGAATTAACAAGAAAATTTATTGTTTTTACTACATCACAATAAATAAATGAATGTACATTCTATTCTTGTTCTATGATGAATTAAAAGATATAGCGCAAGATAATGATCACTGCCCATTGAACAAAAAATTGGGGTAATGAATGACATTCCTTTGTACCAAAAATCATCGAACGCTATTCATATTTAACAATGCGAACATAAAATTTGTTATTTTAATCTTCGACAGGCACAAGAAATGCGACTTTAGTTTGTATTAATATCATGACGATATATTTGTATAATTTTACCCATACTCTAATGTTTTTATATCCCGTGCTATTGCGTTTGTATAATTCCTTTTCTTTTCTAAAAAGAGAATGTGGATTCTGTGATATGTGTTAGGTAATTTAAACAATGTTCTTCTGAACGAAGGCATACTCGAGTGTAATATTTATTAAATTAACATAAAAATAACGAAGAGAAATCCGGATATTTGAAAAATTCGAACGATGTATCGTGATACAAATTATGGAAACAAAAGACGGTGATTTTTTTTCTAAATGAAGATCGGAAGTGTTCTAATTGATTATTTCATGTAAGAATACACATTTTAAAAATGCATACAGAGTAAGAAAGGATGATTTTAAAAATACAGATTTTACGATAGGTAGCGAAGATATAACAGATAATTTTGTTTAAATAAAAAAGAAGACACTATCAATATACATTCCATACACATACACACATATATTACACATATATAAGTGATCTCTCTGTTTACATAAATTAAAATGGAATTCCTACTGTCGAGATAAGGCATAAATATGAAGTAAGTTCTTTTCCTTTTACGATAAATTTATACTCTCCACTTTACACCACATTTTTTTAATGGACATCGAGACTTCAGTGTCACCACATATTTAAATAAATTAAATATTTCTGCGCGATTCTTGGCTTCCTGCGTATTTATTTTGGATAATTCGCTATAATTAACAAATTCATTTACACGAGTTGGAAAACAGTTCCCGTTTGCATTAGTCGATTAATGTTTCTACATTACAAAAGTAAAAATTTTTCAACAGTAATTTTGTGCAATACAACGTTAAGAGATAAAAACAATCATAAATCTCCATGATTGTAAAAGTATTTTATATATCATTTGTTATTAAGAGAGCGTATTTATAATTGCGTTTCGTTTAGCGACAAATATCTTGTTTTAAAAATATAAATATAAAATTACAGTCTTTCATAATTTCTCTTGATGTAATTTTACGCTTTGATTAATAGACTATTGTAGCGGGAATGGATATAAAGCTTTGTTAAAAACTTCTTTTAAGTTATTCTCTTTCGAATGTTGAGAATCTTGTTAGATGATCAGATAAGGAAACGAAAAGTGATGCGATATTCATAGCCTGTTAATTCGGCTAAACTCGTCTTGCCAATATTTTGTTAATAAGTTTGTAATTTTTGTACTTAATTAATTTATAAACATTATTTATGTATACGTGTAATTCATGTTTAGCAACGCTAGGTGGGCCTTCCAATAATTTTAAGCGCATTCTCTCTCTTTCCCTCTTTCTTACTTGCAAAGTCAAAGAATTTTCCCATTAAAGAATAAACTTTCAAAGAAGATCCGCGCGAATAAAGAATATAATATATGAGCACCAAAAAAGCTATTTTAAGGTAACATTAAAAGAGCTGTTGTTTCCACGCGCTTCTAAAAGAGCATAACTTTGCATATCCGCAACTGCATATCAAAGTGGTAAAAAGTAAAGTTAAAGAGAGCGGTATATATTTAGATATTCTCTTCCATACATTTTCGAATCATCGCATTATTTATTAACTATAATATGTAAGACGTACCAGGCGCGTTGTGTACAAAAACAACGCTCCCGTTAAGGATAATAAACAAATTTCGTTTCTTACGCATTTTATTCTTAACGCGTCGTACATTTTATATGTTCATACATACGAGATATACAATTATACAGTGTCTACATTTGTAGCATAATCGAAGCATCGGATGCAAAAATTAGACAAGTTATTCAATGAGTAATGCCTTTCTGTCAGTTAGTATTGTTAGCAATGCACTAATTGCATATGATAATTAACGAATAAAATGTATTGAAGAGAAACACATAGAAAAGTGCATAAACTACATTATTTATTTTCATAACTGAAGGAAAACGAAATCCCAAAATGTCTCGGATATTTGTTGCATTCTAACAAAATTTATCGAAGTTAGGCTTGTCTGACATGCGTTATTTGCATCCTGATCTACGATTATCTAAATCTCTACTTTGATTGACTTTGTAATTAAACGCAGTTCAAGATGATATCGAAACTTATTACTATCAGACATATTCTTATTATCTTACAAATATAAAATATAATATCTTGCGTAAAACATTTATAAGATAACAGTATCGCAAAAATTCTAGATTTTTTAAATTTTGCTTATAGTTAAGTATCAATTATCGATCTTAATTTAATTTTAATGTGCTAAAGTCTTCCCGATGTCTTCTTCATGTATCTGTATATTTCTCTGAGATACGATATAATTTTCAAGATACAATTCCTCGAATGTTTTTTAAAGAGATACATAACTGATTATATATAGATGTACGTTCGATGTTAGATATATGTTGATAACAAAAGAAATAACATAAGAAAACACATAAAAGATAACAAGGAGATACGTTGATAGTAGTGCGTTTCGATTCAAAATCTTGTGTGTATATTTATATATGTCTGACTTATACTGTTATAGCTTGCGGAAAATATTTCTTGTTTCTCTGCAATATCCTTAAACGTTAAGAAGCTACTATTATTATTATTATTATTATTATTATTATTATTATAAGTAATCGAGTCTAGTCCATTTATTAAAAAAGCAAATTAGTAATGATATCTAATAATATGTATGCTTAAATTGTGATAATATTCTCGTCGAAAAGCTGATTTAACCGACAATCTTATCGATTATAAGTTCTTGGTGCATTAACATATAAATGTAATTATAAGAAAGAAGATAATATGATACATTCCCGCGATATATGGTATACATTGATAGTCGCCTCTACGAACATTGAGTTACGATCGCGAGAATATTTTGACGATCTAAGCATTAATGTATATTCATTGTATATTTGAAGTAAGGTATCTTAATATAATATAACGAGCATAAATTAAGATCATAGTCAATACTGATTCTCAATCAACTATTCATATAAACACGTACCTTATTTTCCAACAATTTACTCGCAGGAGTAAAATGCAATTAAAACTCGATTTGATTCAGCGTGCTGCATAGCAGAAATTACGCTGCTTTCAAATCGAGTAATCTCGCCGAAGAAGCTCAGAGAAGCTCGCTTCTTCGAAAATTTTAAACGGATTCTGCGTGAGAAAAATAAATAGAAAAGTTAAGATTATTCTTTTTAAATATCAAATGTTATATACAAAAATTATAAATTCATCGTTCGAGAGAATAGTTCTTTTTTTTTAAATTACAATAAAATTATTCTAAATAATAGGAAAAATGTCGTTTCATAAAAATAACTTTATCTTAATGACGTTCTAGGTGACTAATTTATTATATCAAAAAATAATTTGACTTAGAAATCTTCACGTTTTAGTTAAATGTCTCAGGAGAGAATATTGCAAATTAATTACTTTTATCTAAATGCTTTGTTACGAATGAAAATACAATTACTTGCATCTAAATAAATATATAAAAATTAAATATATGTGTTTGAATACAAAAATATAATCTCTCGAACGGAGAAATATATATAATAAATATCAAATATAAAGTGTTTTGAACTCATCAGCATAAGAATTACTGTTTATTTAATAATTTTCGCAAATAATGTTTTATTTTATATGTTCGAATGTATCGAAGTCGAGTAACAGTACCATGCCAAACCGAATTTTGAATCTTGATCACTCCATCCATTTTTCTCTGATATATTATATCCTATAGAATCTAGCTATTATTAACACCATTGCTAATAATAAGTTCTACAAATAAAATTAAAAACTGTATCAAATGTTTATATATATGAAATAAATTATGATAATGCAATAAAATTAGTGTTTTATCAATTTTTGTGTCTCTAATGCCTTTATTACTTTACCTAATACCTTTTCTTTCTCAAAACTATTCCACAAATCATTAAATTGCTTTATTTATAAAATTTTAAAAATTCTCTACATCTCTCTGAATTTGTGACCTATGTTCTTTAAGATTTTTTACTAGTATGCTGTGTATAATAATATACATAAAATCTACTTGAATAAATATTGAATAAATTTTGAATCAATAAAATGTACATTATATATATATTCAATCAATGTTGAATTGTAACATCTGTAAAACACAGATTCAACGGACATTAGACGTTTCT